CCTAACAAATGCATATGTAGGAAAAAAGTAAGAATTATTTCATTTTACTTATTATTGTGATTATTAAAATTTGACCAGGGAGAGAAGGAAACTGAGAAAGCAAGGCACCAGCTTCTAAACTTGAATATGTCAGCCGTGTGGGAGTTCAGCACTGTGACCACCATGCCACCTGCTGGTCCCTTGTAGAAAAAAATTTTTAAAAGGCACTATAAGTATGAAAAGACTTAGATTCTTGATACTGGTAAGGGTAGTATGAAAGTATACAGTTCTTAATGTTTATCCAAAAATGGACATTAAATATGTGCAACTTTTCAACTTTTTGAATACTATTTGCATCTCAATAAAACTTTTAAAAAGAACAAACTTGTTTTGTTCTTTAGCTTTATTTTGGACTTCTTTTGGTAAAAGTGTTATTGTCATACAACATGAAAAGAAATAATATGTAACAGATAAATAAATTTAAAACATACATATTATTATTTTTTATTTAGAGAGATTTTTGCTATAGGGAATGTGTGCTTGCCAGAGAGGGAAAAAAAAAAAAAAAAAAACAGAGAGACAATAAGTGAGAAATTACCCACAGGAGGGATAGCTATGCCATAATCCCTTTTTCTCCATTCTTCTCTTGGGATTTGGGGCATGCATGGAATGAGTTTTAAGCCTCCAGTTCTGAGATTTGAACCATGGTCAACTACATGAGAGTCCAGTGACATAACCATTATGCCATCTGTGGTCCCCAAACTTTTAAATTGTAAAGAAGTTTTTATCTCTGGTGGGCAAGTAAACTTCTCAGAGAGACATACAGAGATTCTGAGAGGTGAGAAAAGAAGTGCCCCTATAGGGAATGAGCTGTAATCTCTTCTTCATTTCTCCTTTCGTTGGGGATTTTGGGAATGCATAAATGCACACATGCCTGGCTGTTTTTGAGGCCTCAAGGTCTTGGACTTGGGCCATGTGGAATTTAACTTCCTTATTCAATAGACCATAAATCCATCTCAATACTTAGTGTTTGAAGAATTATTTATTTACTTTTATTCATTATCATTATTTTTAATTTGCAAAATGGCATGGGTGCTGATGAGAGAGAGACAGAGAAAGAGAGAGAAGGAAAATGAGAAAGCAAGCTGTCAGATCCAGGACTCAAACCAGTCAGCCATGTGAGAGTTTAGAGATTTAACCACCATACCACTTGTAGGCCTCAGTAAGGAGATTTTTAATAAAACATGTTAGAATTTTATTTTTAAATTTATGACATTCTTTTGCAGAAAGTAACTTTTATTGTGTATATAACTGTTTTTTTTTTTTCAGTCTTTACATTTTTTGAGAGGTTTTTGCTATAGGACATGTCAGCTCGCCAAAAAGATAGAGAGAGACAGAAAGCAAGAAATCACCGCCCAGGGGGTATGGTCATGCTGCAATCCCTTCTCCTCCATTTTCCTCTCAGAATCTTGGGCACACACGCACACTCACCCTGCATGAGTTTAAGCCACCACGTTTGGGACTCAAACCTCAGTCAACTACATGGAAGTCCAGTGACATAGCCATTACACCCACTGCTGGTCCCCAGTCTTTACATTTTTAGAATGGAATCACTCTCATCTTTAACATATCTAGGTAACTGTTTTGACAAAACTATGTGCTTTTCCAAGAGTCAACTTCAAACTTTTTCAAAGAGCAGGTCAAATATTGTTATTGTTAGTACAAGTAGAAATCAAATGTAAACTAAATTTCTGATCTCTATTTTTATGTGTGTGTGTTACATTTACTTGTTTTTGTCAACATATTTGTCTAATTTATTGTCTCTTTTTGATAAAGATGTTTTACACATAATTAATGAACTTACTTATATTCTTTGAATTATTTATTTTATTTTATTTTATTTTCAGATTTTCTATATGGTGTGTGTACCACTAAACAGAGACAGACAACAAGAGAGAGGAAAAGTGAGAAAGCAAGTCACCAGGCCCAGGGATCAAAACACAGTCAATCATGTGAGAGTCCAGTGTCTTAACCATGGTGCCAGCTGCTGGTTCCATGATGTAGTGTTTATTTAAAACATAAACTTGGGGACCAGTAGGTGGCATGGTGGTTAAGGTGCTGGACACTCCCACATGGCTGACCACAGTTCGAGTCCCAGACCTGGTAGCTTCCTTTCTCAATTTCATTCTCTCTCTTTCTCTGTGTCTCTCTCTGGCCAAATTAAAATAAATGAATAAATAAATCAAACTAAATAAATAATTCTTTAAAAAATAAATTAAATAAATGAAACATAAATTTATTTATAAACCAAATAGGATATCCTGAGACTATATGCATCAAAAGTGGTTCAATATTTTAAAACTGGATAACTGTTCCTTCTTCCATGATTTTGAAGACAGTATAAGAAAAAATAAAATTAATTCTGTTATGATTAAGACAGGCAAAATAAATAACTGCAGACACCTGTAGGTCATCCATGCCAGTAAAAGAGCACAACTGCTCAGGTGCTCCCCAAATGGTCATTCTGACTTTAGAATATTCTAACATTTCTTTGAATATTATGTCCATCTTAGTTCTCTTCATTCTAAGTTATATGAAGGTTATATTGTGACTACTTTCCATACTTCTTTTTCCCATCATTTTATAAACTCAAGGACAGGGGAAGACATTGTCAAGTCGAGGGGACAGAGAGGAGAAAGAAGGTGATGGGAAAAAGCCAGCCTCCAAGTGAAATTCACAGAGAAAACACATAGTGCATCATGTACAACTAATGGAGAGCTCCCTTTAGAGAAAAAGTTTTATTCTCTATATATAATCTTTTTCAGTACCACAAAAAAAATATACCTAAGCAGATGACTTGATGGTTAGAGTGATTGAGTTTCCACATGACCTACCACAGTTTGAGTTCTGGATCTGGAGGCTTGAAAATCATGCCAGACTTGAGTGTGAGCATGCCCAAAATCTCAAAAGGAGACAAGAGAAGGGACTGTATGCAGCATGGCCTTTTCCCTATAAGGTGATTTTCACTTTTCTTCTGTCTTTCTACTTTATGGTAAGCACACTTGCCCTAAGAGAAAAAGCTAAATACAAAAAATTAAAAAAAAAAAACACTTCAGGTGTCAGAGGTAGTTTGATGGTTAAGGAGGAGTCCCATATGACTGACCATGGTTTGAATTTCAGACCAGTAATGTGGAAAATTATGCCAGGCATGAGTGTATGTCTGGTGCCCAAATCACAGGAAGACAATGGAACAGAAGGAATTGTAGCATGGCCATACCCACGGGGAATGAGTTCTCTTTTTCTCTCAATATGACTCTATGGTGAAAGCACATGACCTATGGCAGAAATTTTTTTTTAAAATGAAAAAGAAAATGCTTCCAAATATAATCAGGTGCTTATGAAGAAAGTTTACCTGCCAGGGAAGAATAGAGTGGTCTGCTTCTCCATAAGATCCCATTTATATTTTTCACAGAAGCATCTTATAAAGACCTTGGGCCACCATGTGCACAGCATGATAGATAAAATAGCTGGGATCATACATTGTCCTCATGTAAAAATTATGTGGTAGAAACTCTATGGAAGAATTTCGTCAACAGTCTCTAAGTTTTCTACATAGTGGCCCAGTAAGTGAGCAATTAAAAAAGAGAACCCAGAGTTTAGTGAAATAAAAATCTTCTGGGTATTGGAAAGGGTTGACTGTCTTGAGAAATTGTTTAAAGCCAGGAATATTCTTTTTCTGGTCTGAAAGAAAAAGTCTTCCATGGAAATTGTATGGCATGTTACTCAAAATACTCAAAACATCTTCCAAGTCTGAGGAGTGGAGATTTCTCATGATCCATACCTTTCCCAAAATTAAATAAGAGTTTTCTTTCAATCCCAAGCTCAGGATACTCCTTTCATCACCATGTATTATATACACATTTGCAGATGACACTCCGATCCTCTTTGCAACAAGAAACTCATGATATAAAATGACACTTTTTGTGGCAGGGAGCTTTTCTGTAAAGTCCACACAGATATCCTTTTCTATCATCTTTGCCTTTACATCCTGGAGGAACTGCTCCCCTCGCATATCATCAGTTACATAGAGTACCACCCACGTCCAGCCAAAATGCAGCAACAAGCAGATGATTCCATAAGCCGGAGAGCTGTCCTTGGAGGCCATCTGATAAACTGATGGAAATTGGTCTTTATCATCAAGGATGGGATCAAAAGGACCATATGTGACCTGAATAAAAAAGATTTTTAAAAAATCTCATACTTTTTTGTAAAGAAGATGAATTGTATTTTGCATTTTGTGTACTTGTAAGTTAATGTAACATACCGTCAATTTTCCTAGTATGAGTATAGAATTGTAACACTACACAATGTACATATCCAGAACTGTGTGAATATTTCCAATGAACTTTTTTCAAGTACACTTATAATCGTATATGCATAATTAATACATCTGTATATGCTTATGCCTGAGCAACATTTTTTTTGCAATTCTTGTTTATATTGTCTCTAAAAAATATGTGATTTTCATTTTGAAAAATACAAATATTTAGAATCTTCCAAAAAAATAAAGAACTGTCCTTGGTGGCCATCTGATAAACTGATGGAAATTGATCTTTATCATTAAGGATGGGATCAAAAGGACCATATGTGACCTGAATTAAAAAAAAATTTAAAAAAATCTCATACTTCCTTTTTGTAAAGAAGATGAACTGTATTTTGCATTTTGTGTACTTGTAAGTTAATGTAACATACCGTCAATTTTCCTAGTATGAGTATAGAATTGTAACGCTACACAGTGTACATATCCAGAACCATGTGAATATTTCCAATGAACTTTTTTCAAAGTACACTTGTAATTGTATGTGTATAATTAACACTTCTGTATATGCTTTGCCTGAGCAACATTTATTTTTTGCAATTCTTGTTTATATTGCCTCTAAAAAATGTTCGATTTTCATTTTGAAAAATACAAAGATTTGGAATCTGCCAAAAAATTAAAATAATCTGATTCTGAATTTAGTGTGATTTAAAAAAAAAA